CATGAAAATGTGGAACGCGAAATAAATAGATTGATAGTCTTTGTGTACTTGGGTGGCATTACTATTCGTTTACGACTCTTGCATGCAACTCAACGACCTGGTTTATGACTACAAGGATCACGAAGTGCACTCCAGTGGTCAGCTCACTTCATACTTTTCTGTATGAGCACCTCAGGATGTTCAACAATGTGCTTTGTCACAATGTTGCAGTCCGACTCACTCTATTTTAAACGACCTCTCTACACACACGCAGCCATTTCAAAATACATGTTGATTGAGCTACTCAGGCTGACGCTTTACATGGTTTCGCATTCCACGGACGAATGACGAATGGGTCACAAACTGGGGTCTCCCACATAAACCACTAGTCATCGTTAATGTTGGGCTGTTCACAACAAGACAGGCCAAGTGGAGTTCCGCGCCATACTGACAGATCATGGCCTCATTAGCACCATCTTTCCACTGTCCTATGAGGAATTTGCATTCATCTAAGCATCCAACATTGAAGGCACCCCTTGTCTCATCATACAACCACCCAGCCATTAGTGAAATATGAAGTCGGCAGTGCAGGTGATTGTCAACTTCACGTCATCTACCCGTGCTGCTATCACTGCCTTAGATATGCACGTCATTCCAGTGGCCTTTCGGTGATGGTTTCAGGAAATTATTGCTTATTTTGCCAAAGGTAAAGTGCCTTAAATTATCTTTTTCCTTCTAGCTCCACTTGGCCCCTTCCCCCTCCTCCACCTGCCCATACACCCTCTACTCCTTCCCATCTCATGGCAGTGAGAGAGCAAATTTTTACACGCACACACACACACACACACACACACAGAGAGAGAGACATCAAGCTTTCAGTAGAAGAGTAAGTCATTAAATTCACCACCCATAAGCATCGGAGTTGACAGGAACCATTTCATGCAAACATGTGTTAGAGCGAAAGGTAGCGAACATGAATTGATGGTTATCAATGAACAACGCCCTGAACAACTGGTGATGAATTCGTTTCTACGCGCATCCTGCATTGCTTGTCATTCACTTTGACTAGTCACCACGCCTTAAGTGACTGGCAGAGCTGAGAGCTCAGTGAGAAGTGCCACAATCGAGCAAACAAAGCTAACTAAGCAAATGAGACTCGAAGGCTTGCGGTGACAGAATGCATTCCCACAACACAATTGCTGCGCCCTGTTTTCGAGGGAGCGTCCGCCACACCTGAATGGAGTGAGGCTACCCATGGGATGATGAAAGGTAGGCGTGGGTGCCAGACGAGTAGCTTGTTGATTGACTGGACAGAGCCACACACCTGCAGTCCTCATGTTAGCAGTGGTCTCATTCACACGCCAATGCGTTTGGTAAAGAAGACAAAGTGAAGTACAAAGAAGGCATCTTTGAAAATTTACAAGTCATTTCAGTGTTTCTGCTGGAGCAAAGGCAACAGAGAGTGGGGAAGAGAAGGTACAATTGGACTTACTTCAGTGAGCACGTAGTTCCAGGTGGAGCAGCGCCATAGCCGACAATATCAGGAAGCAGCAATAATTAAAGTAATATATATTAGCATTAAATGAGGAAGTTAACAGAGGCCCTCAAATGAAGTGCACTCTGTCTGTGAAAATGTGGAGTAGCTGGCTGCCCTCATGCAAAGTAAATGCTTCAGTTTGTGGTAGCAGAACTGAATGCAAGGATCGTTTCTCAGTAACTGTAATCCATTGAAGCGTTGGTTTGGTGTCAAAAAAGCGACATTCGACGTAATTTGAATTGTACGAGATCATGGGCCTTGAATATTTGGTATTTTTGAAGTTAGAACATCAAATACCGAGGTTCTTAGATGGTGACTAGAGAGTACCTCCCAAAAACGCCAAATTTGGTACAAAAGGGATAAGCATTCTTAAAAACCGTACGCTTCTGCCAGTGCTGCTTTGGTGATAAAGCATGCAAACTCCAGGCACCTTGTTGTGTGAATCTGACTTTGTTTAGGGCTCTCTGTGTAACGCATCGAAGTGTGTACATTGGTTGTCATCAAAAGAATCCTCATGCGATGATTGCTCGTAGATGGGGTGTTCGGAGGAGACGTATCAACGGTAGCAGAAGGTTACACATAGGCAAAGAAATATGCATGGTGTATTCTACCTGATGTCGTCAACTGACTTGGGACGTGATTCGTGGCACTGCTTCCCCATGTAGCATCAAAGCCATGTAGAATTTTGTGGCAGGCATCACCTTTGCCCACCAGGACACGAGTGGCGAATAGGGAGGCAGAGAAGGCAGCTGTCAAATTGACAAAATGGACTTGATGAATTGCAAGTAATGCATTTTGGAGTCGGTAATGCAGTGACCACTTTCCAAAGCCTAATGCGAACCGCGTTAGTGGGCTGGTTCACGAAATACTGCAAAAGATACTCAGATGGCATTTAGGCCTTAAAGGGGACATTGGGAATGCTAACATCATAACCCTGCATGCGGTGGACGTTACACAGTGATTTTGCACTACCGAACGAGGCGACTGGATGAGAGAGGGTGTGAACTGTTCCGACAGCCAGGGAACACTATTGGGTCAGTTATGAGGGAGTCATTTCAATCACGACTTCCCTTAGTGTTAGAAGCTAATACCTCCAAATATATGATATGTAAGAGTAGCATTGCGTCAACATCCTTGATAATCTGGTGGATAGTTCATCCAGTTCTGAGGCAAGCGATGTGTCAAAAGTGTTGTTAAGGCATATTGTGACGTTGAACAGGGCCTCAGGACTTTCTAATAAATTCAGCAAAGACAAATTTCCGATGAGGATGAATTAATGGTTGGGCGACGATTTCGAAGAGCGGATGGATAAGCAATTTTGAGAAGCGAAATGATTCATTACAAATAATTTTTATCTCTACCGAAAATGGATATATGAATTGGTTGAGACCATTGGAAGGCCCTCTTAAAGTGGGAAAATTTAGTGATGGCACTAATTTTTTGACCATCTTTCAGCAAACTGACTCAGAGCCATGTTTTACAGTGGGAAGAATAGAGTATGCTGTTAATGACCATAAATGTGCCTGTAACACAAGATCACCATTCCGCCTCTTTCAGGTGCTTCAAGTAACTCCTACTTCGCATGTTTACCGCATACCTCAAACTGTTGCGCTGATTTGTTTACTTGGACAAAGGTTATTTCTTAGACCATGTCTGCTCAGAAAAGAAGGGCCAGTGTTCTACCTGTTAGCACTGGACAAAGCACCACCTTGAGCGGAGCTACTCTTGTGGGTAATGGATTGATCCTCCACAGTCGCGTGTTCGTTGTGACCTCTTCCTCCATTCCCTGTTTTACGCAGTTTGCGAACCCCAAAGCTTCACATTTTAAGTCCACACTTTAAAATTAGCGCAAGGTAGATGCTAATTCAGGTCAATCGTTGATTACGATTTTGCCTTGTAGAAACTGATAGTTTACCGAAAGACACTAAACGCTCTGGCTTATCCGATTTCAGAGAATACACCGCATAACTTCGAGGTGTTCAACTCGACCAGTCCGACCTACAGCTATGAGTGTGAGGGTTTGTTGTAGGGTGTGGCAAGGCAGGGTCTACGATGCTCTGAATGCGGTGTGAAGTGTCACAGGAAGTGTAAACGCCTGCTCAATGCTGACTGTCTGCAGCGAAGTTTTGTTTATTAAAATAAAAGGCACCACCGAGAAGTCCTGACGATATGGCGCAGACGATAAGGCGCAGGTGGCGATAAATCTGATGCACTCAGTTATCCACGACGTCTAGCAGAGTGGCAAGACAATTTTCAAGCGGTTTCCAACATCTTTGTCATCGACCCGGTCGAGGGCCCGGCACGAGTGGAGCACTTGGTGGAAGTGGAGCGGAGCATTGTCTTCGGCACCAGTCAGTGGTTCGCCAAACTTGCCATCACCGGTAACCTACCAGGATTACCTTGAGTAATGCAACTGTATGCATCAAATGCTATGTGTGGGTGATTTTTAGAGGAGTTTGGCCTTGAGGACTACTTAAATCGCCTTTGCTGTAGAAGTTCATGCCTAAGACATCAAGTCGTTATTTGTACAGGATGGATGCTGAGGCTCATACTTAGGTTGAAACCAGTAACTTTCATGCGTTAAAATGTTTAGGTAGTCCGCTAAACCATCTTTGACCACTGTAAATTAAAGTAAACACACAATCCAATCCAAACTTGGAGTGGATGAGGTGGGCAATCCTAACAAATATTTTTTAATTGCATTAATTGTGTTCGAATGCGTTGCTTATTTTTACTGCTTTTGAATTACTCTTATTGTCAGAGTTAGCTGGATATTAATCCCTGTTGATATATCCATGAAAGAAAGTGAAATTTGTAGCAAATTGTTGTCTTTGTCTGAAACACCTACTACACTAGTGAAGTCCGCTCAAGGTCTGATCGGAAAGGATAAAAGTGGTCGCAGTGATCCCTTCGCGACAGTGCCTCAGGAGCTCAAGCACACGTAGGAAGAAAAGTCCTGATTGTGGGTCTTCTCGCCTTTCATTGGTCATTATCAATGCTCCTCTCAAAAAGTGTTCCTTTTTAAACAGCACCCGACTTGACCCCTTTGCCGGTGGAAAACTTTTCTCAGTCAGGAGGCCGTGCAACCATCAAGCAATTGCAAATAGCTCATTAACTCCTTTCGTCGCCTGATTCTTTAACATCCTACATATTTTATTGAATTCCAAAAAGCCTTTTACTGGCTCACAAATTGAGAAATCAAGTTGTGAGAAGTATGTTAGATGAGCGAAATAATGTGTAAAAGCTTTCTTAACATTTCAGAGAATGTCATAGTGCTTCCGATAGCGTCAAGGTTCGAATATGGTAGAAATTCTTTTCAGCATATTCCAGTGAACCAATTTGTCCTACATTTAGCAACTAAATCAACAGTTTGAGTCTCATTTTTACACAGAATCTCTGGCTGAAATGACCATGTTTTCTCTTTCCAAATTGTTTTTTAGTAGAAGCTTCCTACTGCATCTAGATTGAAGACAGAGAAAGTCCGATTGACCATTAATGTGCACTTACTAATCTTTTGAATTTATTGTACTGTTTGTGTAAATTGGATCGTTTAGGCATTTTTGTGTCTACTTATAGGCACATTTAAGTAGCAGTGTAAAATGCGTTTTGGGGATGAGAACAATGACTTGAAATTGATGAATCGATGATTCGCAAATCAAACGATTTCTTGGTACAAGCGATCATTGAAGTGCGTACACTCAATGGGGAAATGGATTTGAGGTACAATCTCGGTAATTCTGTTCGCAAAATACCTAATCCCTAACAATTGCCTGTTATTATGAAAAAAGTCATTGTCGTAGTCAAGTGCTGGCAGGTAGTCACAAGAGTGATGGATTGAGCATGTGAAATTTACTGAATGTGTAAACAAAATACGGCAAACTGAGGATCTTTAGCGCTATTAGCTTTTTATGATGTATTACAGTAAAACGGACAGACAAGTCCGTATTTTCCTGTGCCATTCATTTGATAATCTCCATCAAAATCGAAGGTGAATAAAACTCAGCCTTTTGTCATATCCAGTACACCTGTCTCCGTGAAGTGAGTCTGGCTGCTCTTGACTTCGATCTTCGCTAACTTTGAGGGTGGGAAGGGAATGAAGGGACATAAAATGCGTCCATTAGAAGTACAGCTTCATCGCCTGCAAGCACGATGCGTCGGCACCGTCAAAATAATGGTGCAAATGTTTAAATCAGGCCTATTGCCTACCTAACCACGAAACTAGAATTGATACTGTTTTGCAGGTGCCTAGGAACGATGATTTTCTGCATATCATGTGGTAGTGTAGGATTCAACGCTGTTTTGCATTCTCTTGTGGCACTGTATATTTAACTAACTTTGTGCGAAATATCCACCTGTCTACTTTCTCAGTCAAGAACCCAAAGGGAAATCCGTAAT